TATTTACTACTTCATCCACACATAACACCAATGCATCCACCAAACATCTGTTTGTTGGGTAATGTATTTTAGAAACAACTTCTTTGCATCTAACTATTCCACCCATTGTTGCAACATTAATTATACGAATTACTTTATAATCAGATGGTAGTAACTTCTTGGTGATGATTGATTGTGAGCACCCAGTATCTACAAGCGCTGTAGCGTTTCTTTAGTTTATTACTAGGTCAATAGTAGGTAGTATTGTATTGGGACCAGTTCTTGTAGAGATACCTAATGCAAACTTGTCCCATTAAAGTTTCCCTGCTTTTGCTGACGTTTGTAGCAGTCCTTCACAGCATGTTTATGAGAGCATTTCTTGCATAAAGAGGTAGACTCACGTGCAAAGTGATTCAATGATTGGCAGTTGAAACATCGTATTTCTTTTTTTCTATATCATTTGACATTACAGTCCCAGTTGTTCGGTAACTTGCATTTACTTCTTTATTTGCAGATAAACATGCCGCATCTAATCTAGTTTGTACAATCATGGATGCCGTCTTGACACAATCGTCAAAGCTAAACACATTTTTTCCCCGAAGAATGGCACGCAGAACAGCACAATCATTGATCCCAATGATGAATTGATCAAGAAATTGGCTATCTCTCTCTAAAGGCATAAACTTGCATTCTTGAGCTGCTTGGATCACTCGATGCGCAAACGTTTGTATCGATTCTTCATCACCACAATAAGTTTTTCCAAATTCATACAGTGAGAATAACAATGATTTTCTAATTTATAACATTTCCAGTTTTGTCACTAACTCTTCGTATGAAATATCCTCAGGCAGTTCAGGTGCTTTTAATTCCTCCATGATCTTCAACGGCAGAGTAGCAAGCAAGCACGCTACGCGTCAATGGGAAGTAATATTGTTCATCATAAAAAAGAAGTCAACTGCCGAATAAATTGCTTTGGCTATCCATCTTCGTATTGCAGAGATAATAGAAATGCCTGACTAGCTTGTTGTTCAACACAATTAGAACCCATTTTGTTTTTAATGTTTTTATTACTTATCAACAATCTCAACGCTTTTACAACAAATTTGTTCACTATATATAGTATTTAAAAATTCAACATGTGACTCTTGTCAACAATTATTGGTCGTTATACAAAATGTTATAATAATAAAAATATGCAATGTGTGACTTTTGTCAATCATTAGCAAAGCTAATTATTGACATAATTAGCAAAGCTTATTGACAAATTATTGACAAAAATTATTGACAAATTATTGACGCACTTTATAATCACAACAAATACACTTATATTGCCTAATTATACAAATATATTTACATTATAAATTATAATTAAGGCTGATTGCAGCTCCAGCATTTAGACTGGATAAACATTTGTTAATGGCTGTTAAACTTTAAATTTTGAACTTTATGCTCTGCGACGATAGTTGTTACAGCACTTTGTATTACTATTATTACTATTACTAATTTAAACAATAATAACTTTATAAAAATTACATAACTATTGTTATAACTAAATAACTAAACTTGTTTTAAAAAGAACATTCTGAATTGAAAAGAACAGCGTTCTTTTTATAGATTAAAAGCCTTTATTTTAGTGTGCAGAAATATTAGATGAGCTGATGTATCAAATGAGTCTGATTTGTCACTTTGTCATTTGTTAAACATCATTAAATAAGTGAAATGTTATTACAGAATGTCTAATTTACTTAAACACTTTTTTTATTTACATGTTAAATATTCTTAAAACTTTTTATATTTGTAACTAAAGGGTAATTCCATGTAAAACTGGGACAAAAAATCTAAATTTTTTCAGTCACCCTCTCAGATTTCTTTCAAATTTTACCCAGTGGTACCTATCAATGTAACATGAAAAATTGTAAATTTTAAGCTCCCAAAATCAAACGGTTCAAAAGTTATTACATTTTAAAATTCAGCCTAAAACGTTCCTTTTTTGCCAAGTCCAATCCAAATTATGGATTTCGTAGTTGTACTTTTTAATGTATAATTTAAGATTTAGTTGAAGAATGAGGCTAAAAATGGGTACCTGACCATTTTGGAGGGTGCTGAATTCAAAAATGTTAAGCAAATAGTGAAATTTAAATTTTTTGATGGTTATTTTTTGATTTAAAAATGGTCAGCCCAATTTTTTGTTCTGTTACCATGGGTTGCGCTTTCATCAACTCTCGGAGTTGCCCAAGTCTCATGGATTCAATTTTTTTTTCAAATGAAGTAGGTTATCCGAGGCTATCTTTATAAAAAAAATGGTTTTGGTTTCTTAAAGCATTATAAAGATATATCATTTTGAAATTTATACAAAAAAAATTCCTTATTTGGACTCAAACTCTCTTTCATAGAATTTCTAGCTATAGTTTAGGTGTAAATAATTTAAGTTTTAGTTGAAGAAACTGAAAATTGGTACCTGACCATTTTTGAAGATGCTGAATCTAAAGTAGAAAAAAAAAACCTAATTTAAAACGTTAGATAACTGTTTTTTTTAAATGGTAAAAAGCACATTACAACAAAAAGAGGTAAGCTTTTCACGAGTTTCCTGAAAACGAGTTTCCTGAAATCATTGAAAAGATTGTCTGTGACAATCTTTTCAATGATTTCATGGTAAGATCTCAAGAGTTCTCTTCATCCAGTTGTCATCTACTACAAGAAAGTGAAATTGGAATTATCTTCTTTTTGTGTAATTTCAGATGATTTGAGTCATGATGTTGGATTTATCAATGAAGTTATGCATAAAACCATTAATCAAATAAAAACTCATCTTTGCCCTGCAATTACAAAAATTCATTATTTTTTACATTTTTACAATTTATGTCACCATGCTCAAGATTTTTCTGTTTAGTGCATCAGGAATTTCTTTGCAACAAGCCATGGCAAATCTCCATGTGATGGAATAGGTGGTACTGTTAAAAGACTTGTTTCAGCTGCTAGCTTTCAGAGTCCAACAACAGGTCAAATACTATCTTTTCAAGCAATGTTTGAATACTGCCAAAAGTCAATCAGTGGGATTAGGTTTGTGTACGTTACTACTGAAGAAATGGAGCTAGTAAGAATCAAACTTGATGATAGACTATTAATAGCAACAACTATTCCTGGGACAAGAAGTTTCCATTAATTTATACCTTCTTCTCATTCAATAATAAAAATGAAAAGGGTATCCAATGATGATGATTATGCTCTAACATTTGACTTCCTCAATAAACAAAAATACGAAATTAATAAAATTGAGAATGTTATGATGTCACAATACCTATTTTGCAAATACGACGATTTTTACTGGCTTGGAATGGTTTCTGAAGTTGATAAAGAGAATGACTATTTAATGGTAAAGTTTATGCATCCAAATTATCCAAGTTGGTCGTACTACTGGCTAAAGTGAGATTATAATTGCTGGGTGCCAAGAATAAATGTCATTTCTCTTGTTAAAACAAGAGAAATGACATTCATTCTTGACACCTAGCTTTTTTCAATAAAGCAGATTTTTTACTATTTTTCAAAAAAGTTTGCATTTTAGTTTCTTATTTTTTAACACAACAATACCCTATTATTAGACATAAAGTAATAATGTTACGTTAAATTATTATAATTAATAAATAAAGAAATTATATTTTCAATGTGTTGTATAGTAAATTATATTTCCATGTGTACATTTGAAAATATTGATTATAAATATGCAAGTTATGCAAAGCATTAAAAAAATTTATTTTCTTTTAGAAACCTAAACTTTTTTAAGACCTCTTATTTCACAATAAGAGTAAGGCAACTTCAGAAATAAGGAAAGATAAACCATAGTTAAGAAATAAAAAAAATTCAACTGTTGATATTTTAAAATTGAAAAATTATACTCAAATACTTGGAATAGGGTTCATTTATCTTTATCTTTTTCTCAATACCTTTAAAATTAGTCAGGTACCAATTTTCAGTCATATTTCTCCACTAGAACTTTAATTATTCACACAAAAAGTATCGCTATAAGTCTATAATGGAGAATAGAGGCTAAAAAATGATTTTTGTTGTCAAAATTTCAAAATGATATATCTTAATAATTCTTGAAGAAACCAAAACCATCTTTTTTATAACAATAGCCTAGTATCACTTACTTTGTTTAAAAAAAAATTGAATCCATGAGACTTGGGCAACTCTGAAAGTTGATGAAAGCGCAACCCATGGTAACAGAACAAAAAGTTGGACTGACCATTTTAAAATCAAAAAATAACCATCAAAAAATTTAAATTTCACTATTTGCTTAACATTTTTGAATTCAGCACCCTCAAAAATATTCAAGTACCCATTTTTAGCCACATTCTTCCACTAGATTTTAAATTATTCGTTAAAAAGTACAACTACAAAATCCATAATGGCGAACTTGGCAAAAAAAGGAACATTTTAGGCTGAATTTCAAAACGTCATAACTTTTGAACAATTTGGATTTGGTAGCTCAAATTTTGCATTTTTTCATGTTTCATTATAATGTACCACTCGGTAAAATTTAAAGAAAATCCAAGAGGTGACTGAAATGACTGTCCCAGTTTTACATGGAATGACCCTAAACTAACTTAAATAAAATTACTAACTAAATTCAAAAACACTTATTTAATTCAAAACAATGATGAAAATAATAAAATAACGGCAAACCTAATAAAATAATGAAGAACAAAACATCCAAGAACAATTAGCTGTGTGATAGAAAAATTATATTCAATAATATCCAGGTAAGAACTTCCAATAAAAAAAACTGGTACAAAAAATGCTGGCGATTCTTGTAAAAACCACCCTAAACGAGGAGATATTGCCAAACTTAGTAACTTTCCAGTTTGTGAATATCGCCCATAAGGTGCAGGAAGCCAAAGTAAAATGATAAACACAATAAACCCAACAACAAACATTGAAATAGTTAATAAATAAAGAACTATCCATTCATATTGCAAGTAAAGTAAAAGTATGGGTGCAAAATCCATATTCAAATAACTTAACTGAAAAAAAAAATTACCATGCAGAAATAGTTATATTTTTATAGATTTCAAAATATATATATATATATATATATATATATATATATATATATATATATATATATTATATATTATATATTATATATATTTTATATATTATATATATTATATATTATATATATATATTTATATATATATATATATATATATATATATATATATATATATAAATATATATATATACATATGTATATATATATATATATATATATATATATATATATATATATATATATATATATATATATATATATATATATATATATATATATATATATATGAGTGTGTGTGTATGTGTATGTGTCTAGATTATAATTCTGATATCATACTGAAACAGCCTGCTACTGGGGTTTCAGAATATAAATCAAATGACTAATATGTAAAACATGCAAAGGAGTGCAGCTCCGTTGACTAAGAGTTTAGGCTAGAGCAGCAATCTCTTTTATCATTATTCTTTTTTTTTACTTCTTCTTTTTCTGAAAAAGCCATATGAAATAAAATAACCAAAAAAGTTCACAAATGTATTTTTATATATGCTATAGTAGATATATATATAAATATATTATTATATTATATTTACACTTAATCATACTAACACATACATTTTTCAAATTTTTTAATATTTAAATTAAAAATTTGAATATTAAAAAATTTAAATATTAAAAATTAATTTAAATTAAAAAAAAAAAAACAGCATAGAAGAAAAAACCTTCTAAACTTATGAATTTACTTTCAAATTGCAAAAAAAGGAAAAGTTTGTCAAAGTTTTTTTTTATTTTTACATTTTTTTTTATTTCTAAGAAATTTTTTTTACTTTTAAGATAATTATGTAACTATGATTTAAGAATAATTTCATGTAAAATTTCATGTAATTTCATGAACAAACATAATAATTCAATTGCTGTTACATTTAATGTAACAATGTAAAAATTCTTATAAATAAAAATAATTATAAATTTTTCTCTTGTTTCATAATTTAATAAAGCAAAAAAGAAACAATGATACATTGTTACATTATAAAAAATAACTGAATTTAATTTTTAATTATTTTTTGACTTTTTTTAACGTGATGTATAAATAACAAAATATTTAAAAAAACTAATAAAAAATATACTTTTATAAGTATATATAATAATTATGAGACGGTAAAACCTAAAAAAGAAAAATACTTGGTCATCAGTTACCTTGGGTAAATAAAAAAATTACAAAAAAAAAATAATTAAGAATTTCCCCTTTTAAACATAAAATACAGAAAAACATGGTATAAAGTGTATATAGCATAAGATTTTGTTTGTTAAGAAATAATCCCGCCTACGTCCGAGTTAAGATCACCATGATAGTGATCGTGAAACAATTTTTTTTTTTTTTTACGTTAAGACTTCCGAAAAGGCTGCAAGCAATCACTACTTAGAATAAGAAGTTACTGGAAGAGAAAATATGAAGTTTGTAAAGCAAGATAACAATTAACAGACTTAAAATATAATAGATAATAATTAACAAACTTAAAAGGTTGAAGATTATATGAATAAGGAAAACAAGAAGAAGAATCAAGAAAAAAATCCGTAAAACAAGAAGAATTCCAATGAACTGATGTTCGACCGAAAAAACTCGATGAATAAGAATTTTTGCAACAGTACTAAAAAAATTGAGTTTTATCTATGTTAAAGTCCACCAACCACTGAAAGCCTCATGCTGTAGCAGAAGTGAAATCTTTCTCAAGCTCAAATACACCCCTCAAAGCAATCAGAGAGTGTTGGCTTCTTATAAAGACAATAATAAATAATAGTATCTGCGAACAAGTTGACTGTTTGCATTATAGATTAAGAAGTTAATACAAAAGCTGTGGGCCTTAACGCCTGCAGAATCACTGAAACCAAACAGTATAATGAGCATTAAAGTCACCAATAACGACTATATAGGCTGATGGATAAGGAGAAAGGGCTTGATCAATATGATCAGAAATAACATCAAAAAGAGTGAAGTCTTAAAATGAAGAAAAGCAATATAAAACAAAGAGGAAGGTGATAGAGTGAAATGGGGCTAAACGATAGCACATAAAAGTATAGTCTGTAGATTCAAATCTAGTTTCCGGACAAAAAGGTAAATTCTTACGAATGCAAAATACCCAAGCCAAGCATGTGAGTATTGGAGTCTTTACGAAATAAAGGAAATCAACCATCAAGGCTAAGATCACAAGATGGGACAGTTGAACTCTAATTAGTTTCACAAAGAGCAAGTAAGTAAACTTTACAAGAGATAATAAAACTCGCAGAAAAAAAGTTATTTTATTGACCTTAATTATTTGGGTATGGGATTGACTTAGATAACTTTTTTATTTTTATTTATTTTTTTATAGTTTAGTTGTTTTTTTAAATTGGTTAAAGATCTTGACTGAAAGCACGGATAGTCATCACTATCTAATAGTAATATAATAGCAGTTTCTCTATTAATAAACCCTTAGCCCTAACAAAGTGACTAAACACTAATAGTACTCTGATATTTTACGGCTGCTGATGGAATCAACCTCCATGAGAGGCGTGGGCTTAATTTTATAACTATATAATGAGGTATTATTATATACTAGTTATTATATATTTATTTATAAAAATTATATAGATAAGGTATTATTTTATACTTCTCAATATATAATTATATAATTATCTCTTTTTTTTTTTAATTATTCCAATTCACTTTTAACGATAACTATTAAGGTGGGAGTTACTGGATAAAAAAAATGAATGTAGTTATAGAGCAAGGAAACGGTTAACAGAGAATTTGAAAAGTTGTATGTTGTATTAGTCAAGATAACGATGGGACAAAGTTCCAAAGGGTCGAAGTGCGGTGAAAAAACAACTAGACGAATTAAAGTCTTTAGAGCTTGCAGGGACAGGTACAGTAAACAGATAAAATTTAGCTGAATCACGAGTCAAACGAGAATAAGTTTTAGTTGATAGAACTAGAGATGATAGCTCCTTTGAGCAGGGACCATGATAGTATTTGTTGAAAAGAGCAAGAGATGCATCTTTGCGACGATAGGATTGGCAACGATTCTGCAGATAGAGCAGATAAAACTAAGTTTGTAATACGTTTTTGGGCCTTTTCTAGAAGATAAAGAGCATCATTAAAACTAGCCTAAACATGGAAAAAGTATTCTATACAGGAACGAATAAGTGATTTATAGAGGTACAGAATGGAATCAGTAGTAATAAAATGGTGAGCGTGATAAAGAGAAGTAACCTTTTTGAATGCCAATTTAGCAATCGATTTTAAATGGTTTCCATGAAAGGTCAATAGTAAACGATAATCCGAGAAGACTATTTGTCAAGACAGAAGTATAAAGTTAAGTCATCAACAAAAAAAACTACTTTAGATGAAAGATTGTCGGGATTATCATTAATGTAGGTAAGAAACAAAACAGGTCTACGAATAAAAACGTTGAGGTACCCCAGAAATATCTAGAAATGAAGAAGAGTGTGAAGAAGTGAATGAAGAAGAGTGTGAAGAAGTGAATGAAGAAGAGTGTGAAGAAGTGAATGAAGAAGAGTGTGAAGAAGTGAATGAAGAAGAGTGTGAAGAAGTGAATGAAGAAGAGTGTGAAGAAGTGAATGAAGAAGAGTGTGAAGAAGTGAATGAAGAAGAGTGTGAAGAAGTGAATGAAGAAGAGTGTGAAGAAGTGAATGAAGAAGAGTGTGAAGAAGTGAATGAAGAAGAGTGTAAAGAAGTGAATGAAGAAGAGTGTGAAGAAGTGAATGAAGAAGAGTGTTGGCCTTTGAGGATGACTTTAATAAAGCGGTAAGAACAAAACGATTTAATAATCTCAAAAAAAATTTCAAGATACGCAATATGCTTATAATAAGTTTTATAATAACAATATTTTATAATAACAATAAGCTTATGGAGAAGACTAACATGCTAAACTTTGTTGAAAGTTCAAGATACGTCGAGAGAAGTAGCCATAGCATCCATCTAATGCAAAACAAAATCTTTCAGTCATAGCAGTTATCAATTCAGCTGTAAAGCAATTAAAAACTGTATTGACTATCTGACAGTGACTTATTTGACTCACGATGTTGACTCAAGGGAGAAATTCAGATCAAAGATTCAAAAGACCTTGCTAATAACAGATAGAATACTAGAAAAAAAGAAAAACCAAGAAAGTATAAAAGTATAATAGTATTATACTTTTATACTTTCATATAAAGATAAAAAATATTTTTTATCTATATATGAATTGTAATTTCGATTTTTAGTTTAAAATAAAAATGACTATATATATAATCATTTTTATTTTAAACAAAAAATCGAAAAACCAAGAAAATATAAAAGTGTAACAGTATTCTTTACTGCGCTAAAAGTTAAAACAAACAAAGACAAAAATAAAAAACAAAACAAAACGAAAAAAAACTAAAAAAAAAAAACTAAGAAAAAAAAAAAGACTGAAAAACTTAAAAAATGATCAAGAGAATATATGCACAAATATAAGTTTTTTGTTTTTGTTAGATAATTAAATGAACTTAACGATTTAACCATACATTTGAGTCCTTTTTTATAGGTATTCCATATTTTTGGTCCTCTATATGTAATGCTATATTTCGTATATTTATCAGATTTCCAAGGCAGTTTATATGTGTTACTTAAATTTGCCCTTAGGTTATAGTTTTCATTTACATTTGTTTTAAACTTATTATTAAAGTTTTCTGGAGAGAGATTGTGATTAAATCGATACATAAAGATTAAACGCTGATAGGTATTTATTTTAAATAAATCCATCATTTTCATACCTTTCATTAAGGCTTTAGCGTGTTCACGTTTATCTTAAGAGTAAATGATCCTGCTGGCATGTTTTAGTAAGCTATAAATTTTTTTATAGCTTACACAACACATCCATCGAAACATAAAAACATGAAATGTTTGCATAGTTGATGAAGTAATGAATTCGCTCAAAAAATATTAGTTTGAGA